TGCAAGGTTCATGTGTCTGTTTGGGAGCACCTATGTGTGTGAAAAGCTTTTTTCCACTATGAACTTTAAAAAGTCAAAGTTCAGGGCCAAACTTGTTGATAAGCATCTTCAAGCTACACTGGGGATCTCAGTTGCTTCCTCACTCAAGACATACGTTGCTCGGCTGTGTAAGAATAAGCGCTGCCAGGTCTCTGGCAACAAGGAGTAGGAGGAAGTGAGTGAAGCCTAGGTCTTGAGAACCCTTAAATTTTTTATTCGTTATTAATAAAGGTTCAGCACATTGTATAAGTTGTACTTTATTGAGTATCTAATCATTTTTGTGTGTGGAATACTTGATGCGGCCCAGTCTCAATCAGACTCTACCTCCTGCGGCCCCCGGATAATTTGACTTTGAGACCCCTGTTTAGCCTATTTGATAACGTTATTTTCATATTTATAATCTTCCGATAAGTGTTACATTTCTATTTAATCGTGATTATGATCCTAAATGTTTTAAGCAAGCTAGAAGGAATTCCAGACGCTTTGTTTCAATTCAAAACATGTTTTATCTATGTATCTGTTGTATATAAACTCTGTTTACGCCCAAATTAACCTTGTAGTGTCCTGTACGCTGTGCCCTGGTACTATGTGTCCTGTACGCTGTGCCCTGGTAAAATGTGTCCTGTACACTGTGTCCTGGTACTATGTGTCCTGTATGCTGTGCCCTGGTACTATGTGGCCTGTACGCTGTGTCCTGGTACCATGTGTCCTGTACGCTGTGTCCTAGTACCCTTTGGTATGTCCTATACACTGTGTCCTGGAACCATGTGTTCTGCACGCTGTGTCAAGGTACCATGTGTCCTGTACGCTGTGTCCTGTTACCATGTTTATTGTACACTGTGTCCTGTTACCATGTGTCCTGTACGTTGTGTCCTGGTACCATGTGTCCTGCATGATGTGTCCTGCTACCATGTTTCCTCTACGTTGTGTCCTAGTTCCCTTTGGTACCATGTGTCCTATTACCATGTGTCCTGTACGATGTGTCCTAGTACCCTTTGGTACCATGCGTCCTATACGCTGTGTCCTGTACCATGTGTCCTGGTACGATGTGTCCTGTACGATGTGTGCTGTATGCTGTGTTCTGGTACCATGTGCCCTGTATGCTGTGTCCTAGTACCATGTGTCCTGTGCCCTGGTACCATGTGTCCTGTACAATGTGTCATGTACACTGTGTCCTTTTACCATGTGTCATGTACGCTGTGTCCTAGTACCATGTGTCCTGGTACCATGTGTCCTGTTACCATGTGTCCTGTATGATATGCCCTAGTACCATGTGTCCTGTACGCTGTGTCCTGTATGCTGTGTCCTGGTACTATGTGTCCTGGTACCATGTGTCCTGTACGCTGTGTCCTGTACGCTGTGTCCTGTACGATGTGTCATGTACCCTGTGTCCTGGTACTTTGTGATATGCTACTATAGCCATCTACAATCTACATAAATAATTTGTAAATGTCTGATATCCTAGGCATGTTCATGTCATAACGGGAGACAATCAACCGTGATTATAAAACAGACAAAGTCGTTACAAAGGGAGACAATCAAGCGTGATTATAAAACAGACAGTCGTTACAAAGGGGGACAATCAAGCGTGATTATAAAACAGACAAAGTGGTTACAAAGGGAGACAATCAAGCGTGATTATAAAACAGACAAAGTCGTTACAAAGGGAGACAATCAACCGTGATTATAAAACAGACAAAGTCGTTACAAAGGGAGACAATCAACCGTGATTATAAAACAGACAAAGTCCCTCCAAATGAAAGAAGAACACGATTTATTTCCATAAGGCAGTGGTCATTTTACTGGTAACAATGGTGCATACATTATCATACATTACAGATGAGTCCAGATACGTTTATAAATAGCATAACAAAAATCTGAGACAATGTTTCTTTGAGCTGTGTTTACCAGTCTGTTTGGTCAAGTGGACATGTGCATCAACAGCTTTAACTTAAGTGGACATGTGCATCAACAGCTTTAACTTAAGTGGACATGATCATCAGCAGCTTTAACATTAGTTTTGGTCTACGATGAAGATATCTCTGTCTTGGATGGTCGTAAATATTCGATCCTTCTGGTCACCTGACACCCATACCACCAGATAGATTTAACATCCACAGCACCACCCGGATTCTTAAAAGCCAACTTCGGGATGTCTTCACACACATACACCCCCCCCCCCATAGTTCAAGTAAACCAATCTTATAAATAACTTAAATTACACATCAATAAAATACTGACATCTCATCCAGATAGATTTAACATCCACAGCACCACCCGGATTCTTAAAAGCCAACTTCGGGATGTCTTCACACACATACACCCCCCCCCCCCATAGTTCAAGTAAACCAATCTTATAAATAACTTAAATTACACATCAATAAAATACTGACATCTCAAATCTGTAAAATAATGACATCATTACATCTATCAAATACTGACATCACACATCTATATCATCTGACATCCCACAGCAGTTGATGCAGGCTCTCATCCTACATTTATAAATAATGTTCAACATACATTGGTACTTAAGAAATTGTTGCATCACATTTTGACCAAATGAACTGGTCAAAGGGACATATGTATGAACTGGTCAAGTGGACATGGGTATGAACTGGTCAAGTGGACATGGGTATGAACTGGTCAAAGGGACATATGTATGAACTGGTCAAGTGAACATGGGTATGAACTGGTCAAGTGGACATGGGTATGAACTGGTCAAGTGGACATGGGTATGAACTGGTCAAAGGGACATGGGTATGAACTGGTCAAGTGGACATGGGTATGAACTGGTCAAGTGGACATGGGTATGAACTGGTCAAAGGGACATAGGTATGAACTGGTCAAGTGGACATGGGTATGAACCGATCAAGTGGACATGGGTATGAACTGGTCAAGTGGACATGGGTATGAACTGGTCAAGTGGACATGGGTATGAACTGGTCAAGTGGACATGGGCATGAACTGGTCAGTTTTTGACATTTAAATTGTAATATGTCAGGAAATTATATGTTTAGCAGGTCATGTTTTATTTCAGTGGTCATTTTTAAATATACATATTTACAAGTGACGTCATTTTTCATTGAGTGAAAGACCAATTCTTGTTTTAAAAAAAAAACAAAAAAAAACATTGACAAGATACCCATCCTGTGCAGCCGTGTAGGATGGTAACATTGACAAGATACCCATCCTGTGCAGCCGTGTAGGATGGTAACATTGACAAGATACCCATCCTGTGCAGCCGTGTAGGATGGTAACATTGACAAGATACCCATCCTGTGCAGCCGTGTAGGATGGTAACATTGACAAGATACCCATCCTGTGCAGCCGTGTAGGATGTCACAAGCAAAAATTACTTTGGCCTTTGGTTCACATACAAAATTAACAATGTAATTTTCTAGTACTAAATGATTGGTCTCGGCCCTCAATGAGAGAATAGTGTTGGACATTCAGCCACGCAGTTTCCTATTGTCAATCCAAGGGAAGTCAATCTACCAATTGCTATTTATCATCTATTTTCGTAAACTGCACATACAAATGCACGTTATAAAACCAACACTACAGCATTGTTAAGAGTTTAATCATCAATAGTGTAAGTACTGCAGTTCAACAATAGCTAGAGCACGACATTTTCAATTACAAATACGCTTCAAGGAAACAATTCAGTATTTTCGATTTTAAATGAAGACAAACTATGTCATAAATGGACATGAACACTCTGGGTCTGATAAAACCATGAAACATGAACATAAAAAGTCAAAGTAAGCCAGAGGCAATCGTTTTCATGGTTACCAATAATACTTGCAATGTATAAGGTAAGGTTTGGAATACTCTGTCAGCTACGGAACAATGCTTGTTATTATAACGTTGTGACGTCAGCCCACAAACTACACAAACTTACAAGAAAAAACGTTTCTTTGAGTATTTTTCATCAACCTTGACCCGGCTAACATAGTTCTGCCCGTTTCTGGGAAACGATGCTTTCGGGGAATCCCCTAAACATGACGTAATCAAGTGTCGGTCCCAGTAGGACGCCTTGCGGGGGTGTACCGAGGTCAAGGGGTCAAACGTGGGGCATGACTGTGTGTGAGTCAGGAGGTTAAGTGGATGTGTTGGGTGGAAGGTATCAATGACGACACGTGACGTGTCAACGGCGTCGTGGGGTATGTCGGTGACGTCATCGCAGTCTGTTTCCAGAGCCTCATTGACGTAGCAGAAGGCGTTTCTGTTAATGCCACTGTGCTTTGTGACGTCGCTGGGGCAAGGGGTGTGTGACTGTGAAGGTGATGGGGGGTTGTGCTGTGATGGCAAAGAGTGATAGAATGGATTATTACAGCTGCTGTGCTGGGGTGGCAATACCGGGTAAAGAGGGGACTCTAGCTGCAAGTAGACGGACGACCGCGGTGATGAGTGGCACGATGGTGATGGTGCAGGGGATGGTACCTGTGCGTGGGATGAGGAGGATACAGGCGCGTAGGGTGGGGATGATAACGATGCTGTCAGTTTAGAGTTTGTTCTTTGAACTCTCACTGGTTTCAACAGCTCAGTTTTCTGACATGTTTGTTTCCCACCAAGACACGATACAATATTGTCATTGTCATCTATCACAACGCACACACTGCTCCCACCGACTGGACACTCTTGGCAGGCGATGTCGAGCAGGCTCTGCTGGGAGAGTCCAAAGTCCAGGGAGAAACTCCTGGAATACTTATGACCTTTCTTGGGGGAGGCCTGGTCCAGAGAGTCCAGCTGGCAACAGCTGGCCGTCTGCCGGTTGAGTTTTTTTATATCGACCACAGGTGTGAACGCGTCCATCTCAGGGTCACGCCTGTCAGCACTCACCTGGTCGTAGAGATGACCGTCACTGACCGACTCGTCCAGGGACTCCATGCTCCGCTTCAACCTCTCGCCGAAAATGTCCAGCGTCGACTCCATGAGCGTGGAGATCATCCTGCTGTCGGTCCTGCTGAGCCGCGGGGTGGTGCTGATGGTGGACACGAGGCTGGCCCGCCTGTCCACGGGCGCACAGAACCTCTCCTTGCAGAACTCCTTGAACATCCGCTTGAAGGCGGCGCGAAACTCATTGTTCTTGAAGGCGTAGATCCACGGGTTGATGCCGCTGTTGAAGGCGGCGAGGAGGATCAGGTAGGTGGTCACCCAGATGTCGAACCTTATGGGGCACACGGTCTGAATGAAGATGTACACCAGATACGGGAACCACAGAGCAAGGAACACGCCTATGACGAGAGCTAATGTCTTAGCGTATTTTGTGTCTTTGATCATGAACTTCACCTGCAGACGCCGATGAACAGCAAACTCCACCGCCGCGATGGCTTTCGCGTGATGGCGCGCAACCATAAAAATCCGAAAGTAGCAGACCAGAATCGCGATGCACGATGGTGCGAAAATGGCGCTCAAAAAGAGAACAGGGGCGCCACTTTTGAGCAGGTTCGCCGAACACGGCGCGAGTTCCGTAGGCACATCATACCAGCCAATCATCAGAGGCAGCCACACGATGAAAGCTGAATAGATCCAGGTCAAGGCCACCAGCACCGTGACCTTACGCGACGTCATAATGTTCACATACTCCAACGGCGATACCAGCGCCGTGTGTCTATCGTAGGCGATGGCGGCCAGTGTTAAGACGGAGACGCCGCAGGCCATCATGAGGACACGGTTGGGCAACAGGCACAGGACCACATCATGAGGACCGTCGGCGCCGCCAAAATGGAAGACCTCGATGGCCACGACGAACGGCAAGGCCAGCGCCACCAGAATGTCCACGGCCGCGAGCGACGTGATGAAGTAGTTTGTTGGCGTGTGCAGGCGTCGGTACCGGATGACGCTGGCGATCACCAACAAATTACTGCACAGGATGAACGGCACCATGAAAATGACAATGGTCACCGCTCCGATCTCAGCCGCCGACCAATCGTCGGTAAGCGTGTAAACGGATGAGTTGGCGTCTTCCGGTGGCGGGAACGTCGACGCCATCATAGTGTTCGCAAAGTTATTGAGGGTCAGGTTCGCTTGTGCTGTGGACGGGCCGAACGGAAAGTCTGAAACAACGCCCTTGAACACAGATTGGGGTTCAGAGGTTACAGCTTCGGGAACTGGGGGAAACACGTGTTCGGAGATGTCAAGGACGTCCTTGGCGAACCAGCCGGTGTCCTTGTGTGGGGACGAGATGAGAGGCAGGGATGGTTCGGTCAGGTCAACCTCCCCGCTGACGTCACCGTGTTTAAGTTCTAGTGCCCTTTGTATGAGGTCACCTTGTTTGACCCCCATAGGTTTGTGACCTTTGGGTTCACCGAGAGACAGAAGCCCTGTCATGTCGTCTTGGCTGAACACCATCTTGGTGAGCACGTCCAGCGGGATGCCATTCTCTTCCAGGTCCGAGGACATGTTGTCACATGCGGTCAGTGGTGCACCCAGACGGGTCGGTCTCAGACGTCACCAGGCAGCCATGAGGACAATCACACCAGGTCAAACGACTCTAAACTAATGGGGCGCCTTCAGCTGAAAATAGACAATTGAACAGCTCATTATTTTATTGTTACGATTCCTTGAGTAAAAAAAAGTAAGGATTAAATCTATTCATTAAAAAAAATGAACACATGTTTGATCCAAATAGAGTCAAATAATGTTCAATAATGACCACACATACTGACATGTCTTGTCATTGTATTGAGATGGTTTCAACTTTGTTGTAGTAACTTAACACATGCTGCAAGAGTGAGCCCCTTCCACACCCCCCATTTTTTCGTGATCACCGTGATGTGGGAAGTGGCCGCGTGTACATGTCTTAGAATAAGACAAGTGTGTACAGTCTGGTGGAGACAAGTGTGTACAGCCTGGGGGATACAAGTGTGTACAGTCTGGTGGAGACAAGTGTGTACAGTCTGGTGGATATAAGTGTGTACAGTCTGGTGGAGACAAGTGTGTACAGTCTGGTGGAGACAAGTGTGTACAGCCTGGGGGATACACGTGTGTACAGTCTGGTGGAGACAAGTGTGTACAGCCTGGGGGATACAAGTGTGTACAGTCTGGTGGAGACAAGTGTGTACAGTCTGGTGGATATAAGTGTCTACAGTCTGGTGGAGACAAGTGTGTACAGTCTGGGGGATACAAGTGTGTACAGTCTGGTGGAGACAAGGTTGTACAGTCTGGTGGATGTGTGTCAAAATAGAATGTTAATCAACTGTCTATACATCACAATGGTTACCGGAAATTTGATCGAAAGAAATTTAGTCGACGGTAAATTGGTTGAATGGAATTTGATCAAACGGAAATTTGGACGAATATTTTTCGTTCGATCAAATTACTGTCGATCAATTTACCGTCGACGAAATTTCCGGATACGACATCACAATATCAGCGAGCCTCTCTAACCCGAACTTTTTTTTTTAAAATCTAGGACCTTGTTCTGCAGTAAGAACTTTGTCCTGTACGAATGTCCTTGTCCTGCATTCTAGTTAAGAAATGCCCCCAGTGTCCTATAATATTTCAAAGACAAGTTCACCTTAAGGGAGTTAAATCTGATCGTCAACAGAACACCCAGAGTCGAACCAAAACTCTGGCCAAGCCTATGACCTACCGCGCCACCGTCCAGGCCAGGTCTGATGTTTGCCTGGCACTCGTGTCTTATATAGTCCCCATGTCACCTCATCGAGGTCATATTCCGGAAATATTGTTTTCCGCCCGGAAGTGACGCCAGGGCCAAGGACGTGCAAGAGACATGGCAGCAGATCTCTTCCAACTTATTTTCTTTCATCTACTTCTGTGTCTACTCCGTGTTGTGGAATGCTTGATTTGTTTCGGAAAAACCTGGCCAAAACCCCCCAGACATGTCACATTGGCCATTAACTTCCGCACGGGAAGTTCCGCACGGGGATTTCTGTTGTTGGCTGGTCATGGCGACAACAATCATTAATTAAACAACTTTAACAGATGCATTTCATCAACTCACTGACCTTTAAATCCATTAAATATAACACAATTAATAGACAAATGAAAGTAAAAAGCAGATTAATTTCTAGTTAGGGTCTAAGTCAGACCAACATGGTTCTTAGACTAAGAAATACGTTTTCAATGACTCGGACCAATAGACCAGGACAACTTTTTAAGATTACATTGGAATAATCGAATACAGACCAAAGAAAATTATAAGGTTTTTTTTTATTTTTATTTTAATAGGCCGAATTAACCGTCATAAGGGCAAGGTGGAGAATGGAAATATGGAGATTGAACAAAGGTAGTGGATTTGTTCAGTTATTGAAATACTCCGGTGTTTTGACATGGATAATAAGAAGTAGCTGTGTGCAAAGTATGACGTGGCTCATGACAAGGTGTTGTGTACAAAGTATGACGTGGCGCATGACAAGGTGTTGTGTACAAAGTATGACGTGGCGCATGACAAGGTGTTGTGTACAAAGTATGACGTGGCGCATGACAAGGTGTTGTGTACAAAGTATGACGTGGCGCATGACAAGGTGTTGTGTACAAAGTATGACGTGGCGCATGACAAGGTGTTGTGTACAAAGTATGACGTGGCGCATGACAAGGTGTTGTGCACAAAGTATGACGTGGCGCATGACAAGGTGTTCTGTACGAAGTATGACGTCGCTCATTACAAGATGTGGTATACTAGCATCAACTCTAACACCAAAACTTCAAGGACACAACTTCCAGGGTTTCATCTTGAAGTCATCCAATCCAGGGTTTCTCAAACATTTTTGCACGTGGCCCACTTTAACATTTTATTCACCTACATGGCAACCTTCCTGTCATTAATGTTTTTAATCTGATTGTTTTATATACATTCATAAAGTCTTTTTTTTTCCAAAGGTTTCGTGGCCCCCTACAAATTAGATAAGGACACCCGAGAGGCCTTAATACCAACTTTGAGAAACGCTGATTAATATATTTTTTTTCTTCTGTCAAAATGGACCCTCTTAACAATAGCCCCTCCCCTAAAACACGCATACAGGCCAAGTAGTCTCACACTAAAAGATGTTACATGAAACATAAACATACAAACTTTATTAAAATATCTTGAATACTATTTCCTGGGTGGATCTTTTCTTGTCCGCCCCGCACTCTTTGCGCACCGTGCTCTCTCGTTCGCTGCTTCCCCCGTCGTGCGCTTGACCACGTGCACACCAAATGCACATAGAACACATAAGAGTCTATACAACTAAGCATTGGTGGATATATGTGGCGCCATCTGGCATTATTATTATAGATCAGGCCTGCACAACTCAACATGTAAGGCGGGCCATATACTTTATGAAAAACATTTGTGCGGCCCGAAAGAAAATAGGACAGGGGGGAAAGCTATTAAGAAAATAATATTAAAAAAGAATATTTCGTTACTTGGCGGTCCGCAAGCGGCCCGCGGGCACTATGATGTGCAGGCCTGTTATAGAGTATGCATCTCTTCCTGTCTTCCAACAACGTGATTGGGTGCCACAGCTGGTCTATTCACACATTCATTAAATGCATCACTGGAGTTTACCAACAACGCGTAGGATGGTTGGTTGTCTTAGAAATATGGAACATTTCATGAGATATCATCTTTTGATTTGTTTAGTTGTGCCACCCATTCAAACGGTGAAACTTCTACTTTTTGGAATATTAAACAAACACTTTTTATTATTATTATTTTTTTTTAAATGTGTTTCAGGGAATTCCCACAAGTCTATTGTTAGAAAAGACACAAGGGGGAAAAAGTGATTTAATTTTTGGTCTGGTGTCGCGGGCAATTAATATCCCTGATGTTGTTGTCATGGCGTGACGTTTGTTTCTTATAAAGAAAGGGTTTCACACCCCCTACAAAAGTATCAGCACATTTTAAAACAGTATTGAAGAAAAAGAAGATTTATTTGGTTTAAAAGCAGACCTTAGAGAAATAAACTAGTGACTTTTTGTATCAGGTAAAATGTGAATGAAGAAATCAAAAAAGGGGTGGGGGTGGGGGGGGGAGTAGATGATGACAGTGGCTCCTCGTTTTTTTAAAATCATCTCTTTCCCTCGATATCCACTGAAATCCCACGTCATGACCCGTGGGCGGTGGGGAGGGGGTGGGGTGCTAGGTGGGGAAAACCTCAGGTAGAAATAAAACAAAATGATTGTCCTTAAACCACTTTGTCATTGTGTGAAGTAGCAGGGAGCAGGTCGATGAAGTTTCCGTCATATCTTTCTATCACTGGTTGTGGGATGGGAGGGTGTGAGGGGAGGGACGGTGTGAGGGGAGGGAGGGGGTAGGGGAGGGAGGGGGGGAGGGGAGGGGGAGGGGAGGGGCGGGGGGAGGGGAGGGGGGGGGGGGGGAGGGGGTGAGGGGGGGGAGGGGGGGAGGGGAGTGGGACGGTGTGAGGGGAGTGTGAGGGGAGTGTGAGGGGAGGGACGGTGTGAGGGGAGGGACGGTGTGAGGGGTGTGTGAGGGCAGGGAGGGTGTAAGGGGAGGACGGTGTGAGGGGAGTGTGAGGGGAGTGCGAGGAGAGGGACCGTGTGAGGGGAGGGAGGGTGTAAGGGGAGGGAGGTGTAAGGGGAGAGACGGTGTGAGGGGAGAGACGGTGTGAATGGAGAGACGGTGTGAATGGAGAGACGGTGTGAGGGGAGAGACAGTGTGAGGGGAGAGACGGTGTGAAGGGAGAGACGGTGTGAGGGGAGAGACGGTGTGAGGGGAGGGAGAGTGAGATGAGGGACGTGTGAGGGGAAGGAAAGTGGGGCTACTGTGTTAAGGTTTTATTCCGCTTTAAAAAACCTCTGTCGTTTTACACCTGTCTTGGCCCCTTAGTTTGGTCAATGACGGAGCGTAGTTCAAGCATATGTGAGATTTACAGGAGTTGGTACATCATGCTCTACATATGACCAACAGGTTAGATAACAATCATAATACATATCATGTATGGCCTTTT